ACACACACACACAGAGAGAGCGAGAGAGAGACACACACACACACACACACACATTAGGGGACTATGGTAAAACTGCTGTAAGAATTCAGATGGATCAGTTTCTGCTGGAATCACCTTTGAGAAGAAGATGCGGAATGTGAATGCGTGATTGATCCATGAGATCTGCAGCTCCGACTCACTGCTTCCGCATTTCCCAGCGATCTGAGCTCCACGCGGGATCGACACGGACGCCTGCTCCGTGATCAGCTGCACACACACACACACACACACACACACATCAGATCATTCAATTCAAATGTATAGTTTGGTTTATAATTTTCATATTAAGACATTGTTTGTTATGCTTCTTTTGGTAACATCGAAATTAACAGTTTTTCTTTTTATTCTTTCTTTTTAATATCACAAATATGAATTCATTTGACTGAATAAACCTGACTGCATTAGATTAAATTAAGGTACAAATGATAGTCAAATCAGGTAAAACCAGTTTCTTCTTGTTCATCAGGCTTTTCAAACACATTCTCAAATCACAAAACAACATTTTCCAAACTACCAGGTTTTGACCCGATATTGTTCATTTTAAATAATTGTTCTGAATGTCTTTGATAGCCTGTTGATTATCACATATATCTCTTTAAATGAGCTTATCTGGGAATAATATGGGTGTCATCAGTAAGCCAAAAGTACTTAAGTGTCCACAGCAGGTGCATAAATATGTCATGTTTTCACAGCCCGTAACCAAATGGAGATGCAGCCAGATGGAGTGCAAATGTTAAATTTCATGTAGTATCATTAGTAGGTTAGTTCACCCCTCAGTGGTTCACCATCTGCTTCCAATTGAGTTCTCTTCTCTGAGCCAAGCTTTGAGAGAGGAGGTGAAATATATACCATTCTGACCCAAATCCCACATTGGGTTCATTAACTTTTCATTAACAAGTGTTTACAGACATTCACAAATCTGTCATTCAGAAGAAATAAAAAAGCTAGCTAAAGAGTAAGTGCATGATATATCTTTCATGCGCATGATATATGTGACCCTGGAGCACAAAACCAGTCTCAAGTCGCTGGGGTATATTTGTAGCAATAGCCAACAATACATTGTATGGGTCAAAATTATCGATTTTTCTTTTTTGCCAAAAATCATTAGGATATTAAGTAAATATCATGTTCCATTAAGATATTTTGTAAATTTCCTACTGTAAATATATCAAAACTTAATTTTTGATTAGTAATATGCATTGCTAAGAACTTCATTTGGACAACTTTAAAGATGATTTTCTCAATATTTTTATTTTTTTGCACCCTCAGATTCCAGATTTTCAAATAGCTGTAAATCGGCCAAATATTGTCCTATCATAACAAACCATACATCAATGGAAAGATTATTTATTCAGCTTTCAGGTGGAGTATAAATCTCAATTTCGAGAAATTGACCCTTATGACAGGTTTTGTGGTCCAGGATCACATATATTCTTTATGGACTGAAAAGTTGAAAATGCTTTACTTACCGCATATTTATGGATTTCCAACAGAAGGTCAAGACTGCACTGGCTGCCAGGACATTAATGCAATCCAATTATGCATCCAATAAAAGACAGTGTCCAAGATAATTTATTTCCCCCCCTTTTTTTTCTTGAGGTATTCTTTCTTTAAGTGACATCAGTTTCAAATGAGGGATGATATTTCTGCTCACACCTGATGCTGTGTCTGTGGCTTTACCTGTTCTGCTCCTCATCTGCCATATTTTTAATATATATTATGGTTTGAAGTGGGCTGGGTTTGAAGAGGGTTTTAGAATGGGCAGTGAATGCATGAGTTCAGTTTAACCTCATGGTAGCCACAGATGTGTGTGTGTGTGTGTGTGTGTGTGTGTGTGTGAGAGAGAGAGAGTGTGTGTGTGTGTGTGTGTGTGTG